CTCTCCAGGTGATAACAAGCAATAGTGGTTGAGAACCACTGGCTACTAGGTTAGGATTTTGGAAGAAACACATTCAGCTCCAGAATATCTTCCTCGTTGGCCTGCCTCAGTCTGCATTTCCTACCATTCTAAGCCTTGAGCCGTGATACCATACACACTAATCAGTATTGACCAAAATAAGTTTGGTTACTTGTTTTTTTTTTTTTTTAAAGATTTTATTTATTTGAGAGAGAGAGCATGAGAGACAGAGAGCATGAGAGGGAAGAGGGCAGAGGGAGAAGCAGACCCCCTGCTGAGCAGGGAGCCCGATGCGGGACTCGATCCTGGGACTCCAGGATCATGACCTGAGCCGAAGGCAGTCGCTTAACCAACTGAGCCACCCAGGCGCCCTGGTTACTTGTTTTATATTGATTTTCACAGGAAGTAGAGGCTCAATTTGAAGGACTTGGTGTAAGTTAATTTCAGTAGGAAGTAGGCATATTTATCTAGTTAGGATTAGATTTGGTTGCATATAATGGAAAAATCCCAAATAACAGGGCCTTAAGACAGAAATCTGGAGGTAGTTAGTCCAATGCTGGTATGGCATCTCTATGGTCATAGGGGATTCAAGCTTCCTTTTATTTTCCTATTCTACCATTCTAGTGTGTACTTTCTATCTTTGAGGTCACCTCATGGTCCATGATGGCTGCTGGAGCACCAGCCATTATTATCCACATTCCAGGCATCAAGTAAAAGAAAATGGGAGAATGGGCTCCTTTAAGGAGCCTTCTCTTTTCCTTATATTTCATAGGCCAGAACTTTGTGAAATGCCTATCTACACAGAAGGCTGAGAAGTACAACCCTTTAGGTAGGTACCTTTGCTCCTCAAATAAAATCAAACCTCTTTAAGGAAGAAAGGGCAAATAGTAGGTAACTAGCAGTTTGTAGTTGAAGCATGGAGCCACTGCAGACCCAGAGCTTGACCGTGGGAGGGAACTAGAAGCTAGAGGCAGAATTAAGTGATTCTGAAGAAGGAATGATGATTCATTCATCTGGTTCCCAAAAACTTGCTGCTGTGGGTCTTTCAACAGGAGAAGCTTGTTTTCAGTTGGGCAGCTGGGTCAGGCCCTAGCTCCTTTTCCAACAAATTCCTAGTTCCTAAGCACAGCCGTCTCAGCCTTACTTTTGGGTCAGTCGACTCCCGGGGCAGCCCTCTTCCTCAAGAGCCCAGATCTAGAAGGCAGATCTAGAAGGTGCTTCCTGCCTGCCCTTGTGTGGATGGTAGAACAAGTCATTGCTGGTCTGGAGTCAGAAGGCACAGGGCATATCTTGGCCGACCCTGGCTGCATTCTGTGAAGCTTTCTTTTTCACTCCCCTGGAGAGTTAGTTGCACACTGTATCAGTTATGGTCTCAGCAGGAAGCAGAATCCAACTGGGTTCAAAGGACTATAAGGAAGGACGACTGGCAGCCCTCGACCGGCAGCCCTCGTTTTGCACGGTCTGATCTAGGTGAATTTCAATTATCACTAATCTCAATTGTTTTAAATTACGCCAGGCCCCCAACAAGCTGGTTAAAATTTCAGTTACACTGGTATAGTAACTGTGAGCAAGTGCAGAAAGCTTCAATTGTGAAGGTCTAGTTGGACTGCTAGCCCTTTAGTCCAGAAATCACTACGTGAACAGCAGACACACAGTGTGATCGGTGACCAGTCATGTCACCTCTTTCCAAGACAGTAGGTGACTGGCCACTGCATATCGGTCACTCGGTTCATGCAGCACAGACAGCAAAGCATGCAGTTGTGGTGCCTCGTCTCCCACGGATGAACTCAGGGGACATTTTACAAAGATGGATAACAAACAGGGAACTGGCCAATAAAGATGAAAATGCAGCAAAGCAATGAAACGTGATAGAAATTGGAATATAGATGGGAGTTAGGAACAGGCAAGGCACTTGTTCAAACTCCTCCTGGCAAGACTTTCCAAAGAAATACTTTCTCAATGTCTGTAATGTTTCAAATTAGTGTATTTAATATTTGTACTACTTTTTCTCTTAGCAACAGTAATGTTTTCACAAACCTTTTGAAAGGTCAGTCGTAATTTTCCCCACGGATCATTAAGGTTATTTTGCACAGTTGCAGCTTGCTTGGTCCATTTTACAGCCTCCAAAACCATGGTGAGGACCCCTATATTTAGAGAGATATGGGGGCATCCAGGTGGCTCCGTCAGTTTAGCGTCTGCCTTCGGCTCAGGTCATGATCCCAGGGTCCTGGGATCGAGCCCCGCATCGGGCTGTCTGCTCAGCGGGGAGCCTGCTTCTCTCCCCTGGCTTGTGCTCTCTTGCACACTAATAAATAAAATCTTTTTTAAAAATAAAAATTAAAAAGAGAGAGATACGGGCGTTCTCAGCAAGTGAGCAAGGGAAAGCGGGGCATTCTGAAGCTAGCCACGGCGGGGAGCATGCTGTAGGGCAGGAGGATTGGTCGCAGGGGTGGGTGTGCAAACAGTGGTACTGGAACCTCAGAGCAGGAACACGGGGAGAGCTCTGCGCAGAGGGACGCGACCACAGACAGAAAATGCAGGCCAGCACCCAGAGGGGGACTGGGAGAAATATCTTAACACTTGCCTCTGCGGGCCTCCCCCTTCCCCCTCCCCCCAGCTTGGCGGGTGCTTTCTTCCCACTGGGTGCACCCAGCTGAAAGGCAGCCGGCAGTAGGTCCAGGCAATGCAGTCTGTCTGGTCAGGCTCCCAGGGCAAATGACAGGGTAGCGGTGGGCGGAGCCTGGAAAGGGGCGGAAGTACACTTAGCATGCGTTGACATTTTTATGTCCATGCCCTGCAGTCCAGGGCAAAGTCACCTGCATCTCTGGTGCTCAGTGCTAACACATTCCCTTGGTAAAGACTAAGTGAACACACATGGGAACGTGGGGTTCCATTCTTCCAACACAGGGCTCCTGACATCTGCGCCCTGGAATTCCCTTGGTGCTGTTTGTCATATTGGCTGGGACACAAAACACAAACAGGGTCAACGGGAAGGAGAAAAAGCGAACTCCATGTTTTTCAGCCAGTGTTTATAGGGAAAATTTCTAGGGAGAGTCCCCCAAACTCAGTAGATTTTCAGCAAGATGGGCTGGGAAAGTTTCAAATTACATTCTAAATGCAACAGACAGAATGTCAGGGCGGGCGTGGGTACATCTCAGATGTTACTGCATATAAAGCATATTGCTTGGGATCAACTGTTCAAGCATTTTACTTTCTGTCATGAGTTTCTGTAACTTATATAAGGCATTTCATGTGCTTTAAGCTACATCTCTGGAAATCTCTTGGGGGCCTGGGACCTTTGTTAAACAAAAATTCGCTATTTAAATAGAAAGGAAGCGCTGGTTGGCCTTCAGCAGAATGCTAGGCTTTTTGCAGCTCTATTGCTCTGAGGCTGATTCCGGAGGAGCATCTCCATCCAGGAGGCCCCAGGCCCTGGGGGTCTCCCCACGAAGCCCATGTTGCTGGCTTCCTTGCAAGAGGGTGAAGAGGATCGGTAGGGCAGAGTTTCTCAGCCTCAGCACTACCGACATCTGGGGCCGGATAACCCTTTGCTGTGGGTGTCGTTCTGTGCAATGCCGGACGCTCATCAGCATCCCTGACATCCACCCACTAGATGCCCGCAGGGCCGGTTGCAGCTGCCACAGCCCAAGTCTGCAAAATCAGCCCCTCCCCACCACTGAGAGGTTAAGAAGCAGTGAGAGAAGAGGGTCCCAGCGAAGCCCTCACAGAAAAGAGCCGTGCAAAAAATAGCTGAGGCAGACCTTATTTGTCTGATGCTCCAAATTCAGGGACTTATAAAGAAACCGTATTTCCCAAGCCAACATTCAGCGCACGTGACTTCAGGGAGGCTTTTTAAAGAAAACACTCTTCTGTGAGTTTATTTCTTCACCAGCAGTACACAGGTTGTACTACATTTGTGTAGGGGTTTTTCCCCCCCTCCTCTCTTCCCCCCTTTAATTCTCACGACCATCTCCCTCAATAAAGCTCTTGCATGTCTAATCCCATCTTGGCTCCTGCTTCTAGGAGGATTTAAACTGGTTCAATGACTCAGTGCTGCTGCCGAGGAGGCTCCGTGGGCCCCCCCCAGGGGATGCGGCTACAAGAGAGTGGGCCTCAGCTGCCAACACCCCCACCCCTCCGGGACAGGAGGCCAGGCTGCCCCTGGCTGCCTCTGGGCAATGACTGAGCACGGCAGAGGGGCTCGGGGCTCTCGGGGCTCGGCAGGGGCCCCGGTGCCACACCCTTCCCACCCAATGCCGCCCTGGGGACAACTCTAATGGGGAAGTTCAGCCTGCAGAGTCCCCAGCGGCCTGGCCAAGATTTTCTCAGAATTGCACTGCGGCCTGTGGCCTGGGGCCCTTCCTTCTCAGTCCTTCTCTCCCTCTCTGCTTAAGCAGGGGGGCTGGGCCTGTATTGCAGAGGGCTCCCCCTGCCTGTTCCTGCTTCCTCAAACCCTTGATCCCTCACAGGTGTTTCCCCAAATAACCCTCTTGCAATTCTAATCCCATTTTGCTGTCTGCTCCTCAGAGGATCAGACAAGTAATGGATTCCCTTCACTACAAAAATGGACTTGTATAAACCCGGATTGTTTGTAGCAAAACTACATCCCAGGTAATCGAATAGTGATAATACTTAGTACCAGAAAATTGGGATGTATGATCACGCCCCCTAGGTTTCCTGAGAGTGGACTGTATTTCTAAGTCAGGATTATCTGTACTAAGAATGGTCATTTCTTACTGCCTTCCCTACCCCTTTTACTGGGACTTCCTCCAATAATTCAGAAGGCACCTGCACAGCAATGGTATCCTAATTCCCCCTCCTCCCCGCGCCGCCCCCCCGCTGGCCGCCCCTGCCAACATGGCTTTGGAATTCCATTCTATCCAGATAGAGAAAGGGAACCCTGGATCTGTTCAGGTGACAGAGATATGAATACTCTAAGCTAAGCTGCTATCCCCACCCCCGCCCCCCCACAAATCCCCCTCCTTATTCTCATCCATCCCTTCTTCCTCTTCCAATGGGATGATCCTTATCCCACCATGAAGATATGAGACTAGGATAGAGAGAAGGCTGCAACTTGAAGGTCAAGGCTTTGCCTTTGCAGTGAGAAAGAGAAAAAGCAGTCCCTGGCAGCAGGCTCCGACCAGCCTGGGGCTCACAGCGAGACTGCGAAGTTCTGCTGCTGAATACAGCCGATCTCACGGATCACATCAGGCAAGGTCTTCCACAGTCATGTCTGAGGGCAGACAAAATCAAGGCCAATGTGTAAACCCCCAAACCCACCCAACGTCCCCCACTCCCAGCTAACGCAAGTGATGGCTGTCTCTTTACCAACCACAGCTTCAGCTCCGCTGTTTTTGTCTCAGCTTCTATATAAAAATTGAGATACCCAATCATAGAATGGATCCTGCTTTCTTGAAACTGCCCCCACAGTCCTTAACACAAGTTCTATTCTAACTCCCTTGTAACACCTTCAGACTGAGAGGCCCCTGGACTCCTCATCTAGACACGTATGCAGTCTCCCTCACTGCAACAAATCAGTAAATCCAACTTTGTTCCTGGTGGTCTTTGGCTGTGGGCAGAGACAGGTGGTCCACAGGTGGCCAAGTCCTGGCCTGTCCTGGGACTTCAGCTCCTGGGCCTGTTTCCAAGGTGCTGCATCCATCCTATGAGCGAAAAAGAGAAGAAACTGAAGGCAAGACAATGACCAAAAAAAAAAAAAAGAAAGAAAGAAAAGAAAAGAAAAGGCTTCATAAATACAGTTGAGGTGTAGATGAATCTCCTGACTCTGGTTCCAATTCTAACTAGTTGCTCTGCGGCCTTGAACAACTCATACAAAAGTGGAGCTACATGTATCCTTCAGAGGTCTGCAAAGTAAGTTTTAAACAAGTCAAGGATGAGAACAAGTGGGCCCAATGGCCGGCATCCAAAAAGCACTTCTAGTGGCTGGGAGGAACTGGCAGGGTGAGGGAAAGATGGAAGGTACAGAGAACATGATGGTGAAAGTCTGATCATCTCAGGGAAAGAGAAGAGCTAAGAACATCAGAGGGAGACAGAGCTGTACATGGAACCTAGAAGACAGAGAAAAGGGGAGGCCAAGTTCATCCTGACTGGGAATCCTCTGCCCTTGAAGTATTCCTCACCCAAGGGAAAACAGATCTGGGGAGAAATGGTGCCGGGCTGGCAAGATTGGGCAGATAAGCACCGAGAGAGGGGTCAGGGAGAAGAGGAGAGGGACATCCACCCCCGGGAATGGAGTTCAAAGTCCCCCGCTGAGTGTGAGCTGAAGCGGGAGCCCCAGATGGACAAGGGTTCCCCTTACCTTTATGTGTCAGAAGGAAGCTAGACTCCAGAGCAGGTGCCAGGGCCCAGGCTCACAGCAGCCTTTACCCAAGACTCCACCTTGGGTTCTCCGAGCAGCCACCAATTTAGAAATGCACAGGCCTTTCAAGAGAAACAACAGATCAATAACGAGAGCGGCCTTCCAGAGACTCAAGAGGCCAAAATTAACAGCCCAACCTCGAACGGGTGAGAGGAAGCAGTTAGGAACACAGACGCTTTCAAGGAGGGACGAGACGAAAGGGGCTGTGAGCTCGAAGACGAGCGTCAGAGAGGTGCCTGGAAGGGTTTCCGCACTTCCCACCTGCGCCCGGCTGGAGGGTCCCGAAGCCCCGCCGTCCTCGCACCCCGCCACCCTTCCGAGCTGCGGACTTTAACTGTGGGAGGGAGATGCATGCTCACCCCCCCTCGCAAAAAAGCGGGCCCAAACCGTGAGGTGAGGGGTCTGCTAGAGCAAACCTCTTGTGTCCTCAGCGGTGAAGACGTTCGCCAGAAACTCACTCGGCAAGCCCGTGGCACAGTTTCATGGATAAACGGGCTCGTTCTCCATCCGCCCACGTCCTCGACTGGGGTCCTGGCAGCTTCCTCACTCGCACGCCGCCGCGGCCTTAAACGTGCCTTCAACGCGCTTCTGCGCTCCGATCAGTGCCCTCTACCCGGAGGCCCACGTGCAAGGCTCCTTTGCGGGCAGGGCCGAGCGGGGCTCACGGCCTCCTCGGTGCTGTCCCACCCTGACCAGAGGGCGGTTCTCGGCTGTGTGCGGAGGGGCGGGCGTGCCGAGGGACGAGGACCGACCCGACTTCGCGAGACCAACGGCGCCAACCGCCTGG